CTAGTTTTTTGTATTTTTTAGTAGAGACGAGGTTTCACCGTGTTAGCCAGGATGGTCTCGATCTCCTGACCTCGTGATCTGCCCGTCTCAGCCTCCCAAAGTGCTGGGATTACAGAGTATATTTTTAAGAAGGCATTACCCAATGATTGTCTTCTCTAAAAGTTTCAAGATCTTGCTTTCCACTTCTTTAAATATTTTTTCACCATCTTCCATTCTTTGATGTCCCTAATATCAAAACATTACCTGAAAATAATGAAAATTTTATACTTTGGGAGTAGTTGCTCCCCGAGTCTCACTCTGGTACATTGCTTAGCTTCTATTCTGCCCCGTCTCCAGCCTCACAGAGCTAGGCTGTTTTACCGGCTTATGCTGGACAGCACCGCATGGAGGGACATAGGAGGACAACACACCCCTCACTGCTCCATTCTTCCTGTGGTCCAGTCAAGGCATTTGGTATATAATTACTCTAGGATAAGAAATCTGGCAATACTAGAAACAAATCAGTGTCTATCCAGATCATGATCATTAAAATAAATGCAAATACTTAACATATAGCATCTGATTATGGGAAATAGAATGTATATTAATCCATATTTCCTTATTATGCTAACTTTTCCCATAAAAGACTTCAAACAGATGACTTAATCCTACAAGAAGGTAAAATGATTATTTTTATTGTGAAGTTGTCTTTTCAAAAACAAAGACTTTATAGCTAAGTATAGGTAGACATCTGTTACTCAAGTTGCATAAGAATGGAATTATTCATTCTAATGTAGCGAGGAGAGCGCCTATGAGTGTTGCTGATTTCCGGTTCAGTATTTGGTCCCTTATTGTGATCATTTTCTTTTCAATTTGAAAATGTCACTTTTTCCCCTTGGTGTAGATTCCCCTATACCCACATAGGTAGTCGGGGTTTGGGCATGTAAGCAGGTTGAGCCCAGACATTGCTCCTTTCCTGTCCTGCCATCTAGTGGAGGAACGTGCATGCAGTGCTGGCCTACTGTAAAAGACGATGCAATTTCTAAATTCCTGTATTGAGTGAAATGGAAGGCTTATTCTGTACCTTATACACAGATATTCATAACTTACTTAAGAGGTAGTAGTACTGGTAGTAAATGACCATTGATGAGTTACCAAAAAAGATGAGTCCTTAAAAAATATACTAAGTATAAGAGTAACTAATAGAATCCCCAAAATGAAAAGTAATAAAATCTAACATTCCAAATATAAAAATGTAAAATAAAATTCTTGGCACTGGCACAGAGATGGATAGATCATTGGAACAGAATAGAATTCAGAAACAGACTGTGAGGGTGGCATTTCAAATAATTGAGATGATGAGATATTAAATAACTAATGTTGAGAAGACTGGCTAACAATTTGGTTAAAAGTAAAGATGGATGTCATTGTTATTCTTTCCTTCAAAATAAATGCTCATTGTTTAAAAGATTAAAACATTAAAGAAATTATACTGTAAAATTATGAAAAGAAAATATGGACCTTTTAAAAGATAATCTTGAAGTGGAAAAGGCTTGCTAATAACAGTAAACCCAGAGGCCATTTAAGAAAAGACATTTATCCTTCCAGCAAACAAACAAAAACAGTTAAAAGAAAATTACAAAACAATAATACTTAAAGGGTAAATTCTAGGTTCTATTCTTTAAAATTAATTAAATATTAATGAAATATTACATATCGACAGCACTATATAGACAATGTGAAAACAATTTGAATTTGTTTCTCTGATTAGTCATGTGAAACAAAGGTTCTTTTAATGTTTATACCGTTTAGTTTTCTTCTGTGAATTGGGTGCTTTCTGGTTTTCTGGTGTTTGTGGTTTTATTCCCCCTATTTTATTTTAGTATTAGTCCTTTATTATGTGTATTTAAATATTTCTGTCAGTCTATTAATTATTTTGTTGATTTTTAAAATGTCTTTTTAAAATTATAAATCAATTTAACTTATAATCCCTCTTTGACTGCTACTAGAGGAGGGATAGAACCTCATATATTTTTCTTCAATCGATAGCTGATTGTCTCTATCATCATGTTCCATTGTCCCCATTTATTCAGGTCTCCTTCCTTCTTTGTCCTTTAGTAAAGTTTTCATGTTTTCTTCATGTATATTTGGTATATTTCTGTTAGGTTTATTCTTAGGTCTTTATGGATTTTGTTGCTATTATAGAAGAATTCTTTAGTCCAGTTTTAAAATTTGGTATTTGACCAGAGCAGAAGTTATTTGACCAGGAATAGAAGTACTTTTACTTCTAAAAAATGTTACATTTCTGGAGTTAGGATTTATATGTGTGTGTGTGTGTGTGTGTGTGTGTGTGTGTGTGTTGAACACATTTACCATGAAGTTTGTTTTCTAAGAGCTGTTATTAAATAAATTTGCCTTTTATAACTGGGTCTTAAATTCCAAAAAATCCTGTATTTTTATATATGGCTAAGATATCCTGAGGCCTCCCAACCCACTGGAAGATGTCAGTATACTTTTCGTGAAGTTCCAATTTCAAAGTTTTGCCGTGAGCAGCAAATTTAAAATCACTTCCACGTCTGGCTCTTGCATCTGTTCATGACTCCAGAATCACCTGCTTGTCAACTGAATCCAAAACCGAACCCCTTCAATGTTCTCATAAAGCATCCATCACACCAAATGTTCTGTGAATTTAGGCTGAAGATTAGAAATAATGGGGAGGGGTTACATCGAGGGACAGTAAGGCATCCACTTGCTCACTGTCTCTGTGCTGGCCTTTTTCCTCCAACTCAGGAAATAGGAGTTTGCATGTCACCTTGGTTCCCACTCTTCCTTCTAAGCCAAGTTGAATATTATCTTCTAAAAGTACTGAGTTTTTTTTTCCTGAAGGAAACATGATGAACATAAATTTTTCTACTCTTTTACATATCAGTAAAGGCTTATATTGGGTACTTACATACACCATATGTATTCATATGATTTTACCGTGTAGCATTTATATTGATTTTAAGTACATCTAAACTTAGGACTGTACATAAAATTTTAAATCATTCTGCTCTTGTTTATTACTTTCAATCTATGGATAACACTGTTAAATTTTCAGCATCTTACATATTCTTGGTAAATGTAACAGAATATAAAAGTTTTAATTCAAAATTGATATAGTCTCTTTTATATACATATGTTCTTTGACTTACAGTGGGGTTCTGTCCGGATATCATAAGTTGAAAATATTTTAAGTTAAAATGTGTTTAATACACCTAACATACCGACGTCATAGCCTAGCCTACGTTAAACGTGCTCAGAACACTTCCATTAGCCTACACTTGGACAAAATCATCTGCCAAGACAGTACACAGTTGTGTGTTGGCCATTCACCCTCATGATTGCATTACTAAGAGCTACAGCTCACTGTCACTGTCCAGGCATATGACCAGCCTTGGAAAAAATCAAAATTCAAAATTTGAAGAACAGTCTCTACTGAAGGAGTATAGCTTTCACAGCATCATAAAGTTGAAAAATCGTAAGTCAAGGATTATCTGTATTTATAAATAGAGCTTCCTGGAAAATACGATGTTTTGGTAAGATTTTCTTCCCTACCAAATAATTGTAGACTATTTTACTCATTCAGTAGCTAGAAGGATGTATCTCCTTTCTGTCATCACTCTCAGTCATACAGTGACACTATTCACTAATTTTTTGGGGACATAAAATGTGGTCAATCACTTGCTGAGTACAATAGAGAATACAAATTTCTTTAGGTGATTAAATGAATAGAAAAGGGAAAGGAAGGAAAACTTAGGCTTAATGTTCCATTAAATAATTAAGCTGTGCAATGATGCCATTGTGACGATGCTTTTTTTTTTTTTTTTTTTTTTTTTTGAGACAAAATCTCACTCTGTCGCCCAGGCTGGAGTGCAGTGGCACAATCTTGGCTCACTGCAAGCTCCACCTCCCTGGTTCTCCTGCCTTAGCCTCCCGAGTAGCTGGCACTACGGGTGCCTGCCACCACGCCCAGCAATTTTTTTTTTTTTTTGTATTTTTGTATTTTTAGTAGAGATGGGGTTTCACCATGTTAGCCAGGATTGTCTCCATCTCCTGACCTCGTGATGCACCTGCCTTGGCCTCCCAAAGTGCTGGGACTACAGGTGTAAGCCACCATGCCTGGCCGTGATGATACTTCTTATTGTGCAGTACTCCTTAGCTACAAATCAGGTTATGCTACAAAGTGGTGCGAAATGCAGAAGCATGGCTGACACAACCATGGCAATAACTCATTCTTCTTGAGTGAGAGACCTGCGGGGTCTATGATATATAACTGTGGCAGCTCACTCTGCACATTATGAACACAGAATGGGTCAGTCTTCTGCTTTCGTGACTTCATTATGGCATAGGACTCATCAGTGGACAGCAAGTGTATCATTCTTACAATGGAATTAATGTGTTCCTCAATGTGCCCTGGCTCTATTAGTTTTCCTATGGGAAACTGAAGCTGGGTGTCTCTGGCAAGGATTTATTCAAAGGGATGACATCATTAAAAACAAGCTTGTGCCTATACAATAAAATGAAGTAAGGGTGGTATTTCCTAAAATGAACTGATTTGATTTTCAATGCAAATCAATCATACTGGCAAAAATTTGTAAATGATGCCTTAACAAATTTTTGCCAGTATGATTGATTTTTCATATGTTTAATCCACATCTTTTGCTTGTGTCTGCATACAGATTTTTTTCTGACCATGTATCATCATTTCCAATTTTTGCCCTTTTTCTGAGATTTTTAAGCCTTTAGCTACTTATTTTTTAAGTTATTTTTGTTGTGGTTTATATGTCCTCATTTCGGTTAGCATTATCAGATGAAATGTTGTAAACAAAAGCAGTTATTTAGAAGAAAATATATCCTTTACTTTCTAATTGTTTAAGAAAATTACTTTAAAAGTTTCTTTTTTTAACTGGGCTGTTAATAACACCAATTACAAACTAGATTGGTCTTCGTAAAACTTACTGCCATGTTTTGATTTACAGGATCTCCAAAGATGGGTAAATGGTGCTAATGAACATGGCTTTGTCTTGGTGTCTTTTGGAGCTGGTGTCAAGTATCTCTCAGAAGACATTGCTAACAAACTGGCAGGAGCTCTGGGGAGATTGCCTCAAAAAGTGATTTGGAGGTAAGGTAATAATGTAGATTGTTTCTTTGTTATTGACATTCAATATCTCCTTGTTTAGCCCACGGGTCCCAGTAAAGCACAGCACATTGTTTCCCTGGCAAGATTAGCAAGATGCCCTTGACTTTCATTTTGTTTCTTAGCGTATTGAAATTTAGGAATTAATTCATAAGGCTCTATGATGGATAAAGAAACCTCTGACCTATAGGACAGAAAGAAGATATTATTCAGAATGACTTTTCCTTGTGTCAGATGAATATTTATGTTTCCCTCAGAGTTCCACCCTCGCTTACTCTTTTATTATTTATTATGATTTTAAAAGTTAGTTTTAATTGCATGTCTTTTTATATACTCCTTCAAATCAGTTTTGAAATGAGGAAGAAAATGATGGATTAACAAATACCTAAAATACCATGGTCTCTTTTTGGCTCCCACTTTGTCTCCTTTACATATATTTTCGATTTACTTTATTTAACAAACTTGGCCTTTAAAAACACAATCACTTACCATTTAACACAGTTTAAGACAGAACCATAGATTGACCACAGCTTCTTTTGGAAGGCATTGCCAACACATGACTGTCTTTGGAATTTCCAACCCCATGTTGAAAACTCAGACATGAACACTTTATTTAGCATGTATTTATTGAGCACATACTACCACTGTTGAACTCTAGGGATACAACGTTGGTCCCATAGTTACTACCATGAGTAGAAGAAAGTGCCCCTTAAGCCATTGCAATTAGGCTTTTAGTAATAGAGATTTTCCCTTTATAACAAATGAGTAAGGATTAGCTCCCCCTGCTGAGCTATGCAATGACATTTATTTTATTCTAACTGTTCAGGACCTTTCCCCTCAGATTCCGGTCCCATTGGGTTTCCTCTATTAGGCTTAACCCCAGAAAGTACTTCTGCTTCATTTAGGACAGTTTATGTCTACTCCGTTCAGACTCTTTTGTCACCCTCTTAGTTGTTAAAGCATATTTATGTTTTATCTTTTAAAGCTCAGGCAGAAAACACTCTAATTATGTGTTTTGCCTCACAAAACTTTTATTTCTGGTGAAGCTAAAGAAGAGAACTTTCTGATTTCTTTCAACACTTGTGCCTTCCCTCAGGCTTGGGTTGTTAAAGATTAGGGATATGGACTGCCATAGCAGTGGCAGCCCTCCCTGCCCCTTCTTGTTCCAGCTTCTGATTGTTTGTGGGGAATGACTTCTAGTGTAGGTTTATTTGGTTGTTTTTTTTTTCCCCCTATCTCTGTATGTGTATAGGTATGAGGAGCCAGTGGAAAATAGATCTCTATGTAAGCAAATTATTTCTTGCTTTTCCTCCATCCAGTGAAAGTTTTTTAAAAGAAACTTAATCAAATATTTGTTGTTACCAAAGCATGGTTTCATTCTTAAGAATATCAACAAAAGATCATCGAACATTTATTTTAAATCTCATACTTTAATCAGAGAGCACATACTATGAGTCAGTTTTGATTTTTAAAATATTAATTTTCTGGTGTACATTTTAGGTTTTCAGGACCCAAACCAAAGAATCTAGGAAACAACACTAAACTCATAGAATGGTTACCACAGAATGACTTGCTTGGTAAGTAAATGATTTGTGGTTACTTACTTGGCTGTTAGGTTTTAATTACATAAATGTGATTTTTTTTTTTTTTTTTTTTTTTTTTTTTTTTTTTTTTTTTACTTGAGAGGTTCATACGATATGTGTGTAGTAAATGTTAGAGTTTTATGTTTTTTATCCAGTATTTCAAGTCTTAAATTTGAGGTCAAAATTTTAAATCTTTATTTACTGGAAAAGAGTGTGTAAAATGTAAACATTTAGGCATCTATATTAAAATTTTCAGACCAGTCTCCAATTTTAATTATCTGTAAATTATGTACTTAATAAACTATATAAATTAGTAGTGAATAAGATTACACCTAATTAGAGTAATCAGGTGAAAGTACAACAGTTAAAAAAATAAGAATGTAGATTTAGGTTCCAGATTTATTACAGATGGTCTGAGAACCAAGAGAAATTAGAAGTTATTCATTTGTCTGAAACCAAAAAGAAGCGGAAGACAAGAGTAACAGTCAATTTATTTTAACTTTAATTAGATTATCTGCTCTGTTTAGTCCTAAATCACTGGTTAGTTTTGAAGAACTTTATATTATTTAATCTTGGGGATTCTGATTCTCAAAATTAAAATAGTAATTATTATATGCATGTCTTTTAAGTGTGTTTGAATCTAGATAATTTAACTCTATGTTCAATAAGCACAGATAATAATGCAAATTTTTATTCATCAAATTTTTAGAAAAGGTTAATGCCGTAGTATCCTTGAATATATTATTGATTACAAAAATTATAAAAATGGGATTGATTTTGAAAATATTGACCACCATTTTTTCCATAATACAGCTAACGTTATGTAAAAGAGGCTTTGATTTTAACTTATACTTTTAAGACATCGAAACTATATTTTAATACAGCTATAGTGATTCTCCTAAAAAGCAGCAAATTAAATTGTATAAATAAAAACCAGTAAAGAATTTTATTTATGTATATAATTCCTTTTCATTTAGCTTATTATAATACTATTCTATAAATGCTAAAACTGAAGAAAAAAGAATACAAGGCAATTTACCTTTCTTGATACTTGTATTTTTTTATTTTTAAGTCCTTAATGGCTTCACTGTTATGACTTAGATTCCTTAGAAGATAAGAAAGAAGCAGGAAATTTAAATAAGATAACCTGGCTATCAACTACCTCAGTGCGACAGTGTGACACCGTTATGTATGAACATCTAAACTTTTATCGTTGTGGGTTTTATGTTTGTTATTTTTTTTTCTTTTTCTTTTTCTTTTTTTTTTTTTGACCGTGAGGCTCTACTACAAGGTCCATGCCTGAACACCCTCCTCAAGTCCATAGCCGCTCTAGGCTTCTCAAAGTCAGCTCTCCGACTTTTTCAAGATTAGTATCTTTTTTAACAATAGGTACGATCCTTGTAAGTCCTCTAATAGCTTCTAACTATGATCAAAAGATTCTTCCAGGATGAGAAGTAGGAACTAAATCAATGTCTGTCCCCTCCCCTCGTAGCCAGCTCTTCCTCTTTACACAGCATTTCGGCTTTATTTTTTACCGTTGGGCTTGGTGGTTGGTTTTGTTCAAAGAGAGGGGTTTTTGCTAAAAATAAAGATTGAAATCCACTTCTAGGGCAGATCCTTTAGTTGGACCTAAGAGTCAGAGAAGCCACCTGTGGGTAAAGGCTATAGACACTGACTAACCAGTTCCACTGGACTTCAGGATGGAAGAGCTCCGGGAGCACCATTGAGACCATGGTTCCCACATACAGTAATTTTGTACCTGGCACATGTATATTTTAAAAGATCGACATTTCAGCTAGGTATAATTTCTTTCTGGCCAATAACATATATCCTAGGTATAATGTTTTTTGTTTTGTTTTGTTTTGTTTTTACAATTCTTATGCCAAACTTTTGATCTCTTTTATGGAAATGTAGGCCATTTACCAGGAGAACAAATCTAAGTTTTGAACTTCCACATTAATTTTGACAAATTATCTCTTTTTTTCCTATAACAACTAGATGTTATGTGATGTCTCATGTCTTACAAATGATTATAAATGTTTATCTCTACATGTTTGAGCACATAAATGTAAAATTAAACCCTAAAATTGTGAAATACTAATGCTGATAGAACTTGAATGTTGTAAATAGTGATTATAACATTTCTTTTTGGAGAAGCACACAAACTCTTCATTGACTTCTGGAATCCAGCCCTTCTTTACATTTGTTTAAAAAAGTGTTTTTGACTTTAACGTTGATAAACATTTGAGTAGCCAGAAAGTAGATGTCTATTTTTTCACTCTGGTATTTGGCATTTATTGCTTTCATTGGCTTCCTAATAATTATTGGCCATTTAAATATGTTAGTCATGCAGTGTTTGTGTTAAACATAGTAACGTACATTTCAACTACCTAAAAATGGCTTTTAATTGATGTATCAAAATCTGACAATTATGTATATAACAAATATTTTAATTGATGTAGAACAGGAATCAGTGAAATTACACTTTAGGAATCCTTTATCTGAAATGCATGTTTACTGTGGTGTCAATTTTAATACATTTCTGGGAAAATCTCTTCTGTAGAGTAATACTTTTGTAAGTTGTTTTCTTTTTCATCTTTCTTCAGGGCATTCAAAGATTAAAGCCTTCCTGAGCCATGGTGGCTTGAACAGTATTTTTGAAACTATGTATCATGGTGTGCCTGTAGTGGGAATTCCACTCTTTGGAGACCATTATGATACTATGACTAGAGTACAGGCAAAAGGAATGGGAATATTACTAGAATGGAAGACAGTTACTGAAAAAGAGCTGTATGAAGCACTGGTGAAGGTTATCAATAATCCCAGGTAAGGTTTTGAGAGGTGACAACGTGCTAGCAGCCCTCACTCGCTCTGGGCACCTCTTGGGCCTCGGTGTCTGCTCTGGCTGAAGCACTCTAGGAGCCCTTAAGCCCTCTACTATGCTGTGGGGGCCCCTCTCTGGGGCTGGCCAAGGCAGGAGCGGACTCCCTCTGCTCGCGGGGAGGTGTGGAGGGAGAGGCGCGGGCGGGAGCCCGGGCTGCACAGGGCGCTCCCGGGGCGGGCCCCAGGCTCCGCAGCCAGGCCTGCTGGGCTTGATCCGGAGATGAGCTCCCTCTGGGCTGCCAGAGTACCTGCAATGTCCCGCAGCGAGTGCCAGTGTGAAGTCAAGCCGTCTGGGCTTCTGGGTCAGGTAGGGACTTAGGAGAACTTTCCTGTCTAGCCAAAGGATTGTAAACGCACCAGTCAGCACTCTTTTGTCTAGCTAAAGGTTTTTAAACGCATCAATCAGCACCCTGTTGAAACAGGTCACCCTGTTGACCAATCAGCTCTCTGTAAAGTCGACCAATCAACAGGATGTGGGTGGAATCAGATAAGGGAATAAAAGCAGGCTGCCCAAGCCAACTGCAGCAACCCGCTTGGGTCCCTTTGCTGTGTGTGTAAGGTCTGTTCTTTAGCTCTTCACACTAAATCTTGCTGCTGCTCACTCTTTGGGTCCGCGCCACCTTTATGAGCTGTAACACTCACCGGGAAGGTCTGCAGCTTCCCCCCTGAAGCCAGCGAGACCACGAACACACAGGGAGGGACGAACAGCTCTGGATGAGAGGAAGGAACAACTCCGGACGCGCCACCTTTGTGAACTGTAACACTTGCCGCAAAGGTCTGCAGCCTCACTCCTGAGGCCAGGGAGACCACGAACCCACCGGAAGGAATGAGCAACTCCAGACGTGCTGCCTTTAAGACCTGTAACACCGAGGTGGTCTGGCTTACTCCTGAAGTCAGCGAGACCACAAATCCACCAGAAGGAAGAAACTCTGGACACATCTGAACATCCAAAGGAACAAACTTCGGACACACCATGTTTAAGAACTGTAACACTCACAGCGAGGGTGCATGGCTTCTTTCTTGAAGTCAGCGAGACCAAGAACCCACCAATTCCGGACACAGTTTCTTTTTTTGTTTTTTTGAGACAGAGTCTCGCTCAGTCGCCCAGGCTGGAGTGCAGTGGCCAGATCTCAGCTCACTGCAAGCTCCGTCTCCCGGGTTTACGCCATTCTCCTGCCTCAGCCTCCCGAGTAGCTGGGACTACAGGCGCCCACCACCACGCCCGGCTAGTTTTTTTGGTATTTTTTTAGTAGAGACGGGGTTTCACCATGTTAGCCAGGATGGTCTCGATCTCCTGACCTCATGATCCGCCTGTCTCGGCCTCCCAAAGTGCTGGGATTACAGGCTTGAGCCAACGCGCCCGGCCGGACACAGTTTCAATTAACATTAAAGCTGATGAATGTACACATCACAGTATATTGTCAGTAGCCAATAATTTTCAATAGATTGTCAATAAATTATGAAGTTATGGAAATATCCTTTAGATTCCTGTGATCATGCTTTATGCATGTTTTCTATAATTTAGAAAATAAAAACAGCAGTCATTTGACCAGCCATGTTGACACCAGATAATATTCTACCAGGATCTTCCAAACTGAGGGAGAAACTACAATGTGAACAATCTTTGGATATCTACATTGTGTCAAATGTTATGTGCTTATTTCATTTTCATATTTATAACAGCTGTATATCACAGTTTTTATTAGCCACATTATATAGGCAAGACACTTGATGTTCAGAGAACTTAAGTAATTTGGCTTACAACAGCAATCATAGTCGAAATTAGAAGCCAGGACTGTCTGATTACCAAGACAGTGCTCTTTGTACTGCATGGTAAGCCTGGTGTTGCTGGGTTTCCCTAGCACTGAGTATTAAAGAAATGCGGAGATTTATTTACACAGGTGAATGATGAAGCAGAATCTTTATGTTTACTTTTTAAATTCTTGATAGGTCCTGAGTTAAGTTAGTTCACAAATGAGTCTCAAAGGGTGAAGAATTGGCCTGTGTAGTTTTAAAACAAAGTAGCAGTTTTCTTCATTTGTAGACATGATGTTTAATTTATCCTGCATTTCCGATAGCATTAAAGATGAGAAGAGTATAAGCTTTTTCTTTTTATGCCCAGGGGTTATGGCTTAACATTGGCTTGAGAAACACTGCCACATTCTAAGGAATGACCAATAATAAGAAAAATTATTTCATGTAAAAGGATTATGCTTGCATATAAAATGCCGAATTCAACTGAAGTTCATTATACTGCCTTTATGTGAGCTCAGAGGTGACCTTCATACTCTGGACTCTGAAAGGATCCAGTGTCGGATACAGCTCTGCCATTGGAAGCAATGTGTTCCATAACTAGGGTTGCCTAAGTAGATCCCTTTTTCTGTTATCTATAGTTTTTCTTTAAAGGTGTGCTTTTCAAAACATGATGTTCTTTCATGTGTATATGCACACACATATACATCACATATGTGTCGTATGTATGTGTGTACATATGTATGTGTGTGTATATATGTAGCCTTTCAGGAAAGTTTGTAAAATACAGCCCTAAGTAGAATTATGGGGAAACAGTTGCAGAACTGCTGAGATTGGGTCGGATAAAAAGGAAAGAGCAAAAATCTAGGTTATTCACAGGTAGTTAGTCCAGCCGTGTTTTGTGAGGCATGAGCCAAGCTGAATCAGAGCAAGAACAGGTTACGATCTTAGGTCACATGGCAGTTCCAGCTATAGAATATTGAAGAGATGTAAGTGCTTGATTTAAGCATTATTCTATGCCATGAATAAATTTATATCATTCCCAAAAGAATGCATATCAGATAATGAGTTAATCTTATGTAACTTGAAAACCTTAAATATTTAACTGAAAGGATTTTGTACATAGAAAGATGTCTTAGTCAATGTAAAAATGCCAGTGATTTGTGTAGCATGTCCTTTGCTAAAAGTCATTATATAAACTGAAGTCATTTGTCTTTCTTTGTTTCAAATGTAATAATATTCCACATTTAACAGGTGATAATTATTGAAAATATTAGTTTGCCTCACTAATATTGTGTCCGAGATATTCTGGTTTAAACCAAGTAACTAATACTGTAAAATAAGATTCCTTTTATGAAGCCAGCATTATCCTGATACCAAAACTGGAAAGACACAACAACAACAACAACAAAAAGAAAACTTCAGGCCAATATCTCCGATGAACATCAATGTGAAAATCTTCAATAAAATCCTGGCAAACTGAATCCAACAGCACGAGACGGGCAGATCATGAGGTCAGGAGATCAAGACCATCCTGGCTAACATGGTGAAACCCCCATCTCTACTAAAAATACAAAAAAATAACTGGTTGTGGTGGTGGGCGCCTGTAGTCCCAGCTACTCAGGAGGCTGAGGCAGGAGAATGGCGTGAAACTGGGAGGCAGAGCTTGCGGTGAGCTGAGATCGCACCACTGCACTCCAGCCTGGGCGACAGAGCAAGACTCCGTCTTCAAAAAAAAAGCTTATCCACTATGATCAAGTTGGCTTTATCCCTGGGATGCAAGGCTGGTTCAACATATATAAATCTATAAAGGTAATCTATCACATAACCAGAACAAAAGACAAAAAACCACATGATTATCTCAATAGACACAGAAAAGCCTTTGATAAAATTCAGTACCCCTTCATGTAAAAAACTCTTAATAAACTAGGTATTGATGGAACTTATCTCAAAATAATAAGAGGTATTTATGACAGATCTACAGCCAATATCATACTGAATGGGCAAAAGCTGGAAGCATTCCCTTTGGAAACCAGCACAAGACAAAGATGCCCTCTGTCACCACTCCTATTCAACATAGTTTTGGAAATGCTGACCAAGGCAATCAAGCAAGAGAAAGAAATAGGATTCAAATAGGAAGAGAGGAAGTCAAATTGTCTCTGTTTGCAGATGACATGATTTTATATTTAGAAAACCCCATCGTCTCAGCCCCAAAATTTATTGAACTGAAAGGAACTTCAGCAAAGTCTTAGAATACAAAATCCCTGTGCAAAAATCACAAGCATTCCTTTACACCAACAATAGGCAAACAGAGAGCCAAATCATGAATGATTGGCTCCCATTCAGCAATCACTACAAATAGAATAAAATACCTAAGAATACAGCTATCCAGGGATGTGAAAGACCTCTTCAAGGAGAACTACAAACCACTGCTCAAGGAAATAAGAGAGGACACAAACAGATTGAAAACAATCCATCTTCATGAATAGGAAAAATGAATATTGTGAAAATGGCTATACTGCCCAAAGTAATTTATAGTTTCAATGCTATTCCCATCAAATTACCATTTACATTATTTACAGAATTAGAAAAAGCTATTTTAAATTTCATATGGAATCAAAGAAGACCCCATATAGTCAAGAAAATCCTAAGCAAAAACAACCAAAAAAAACCCAAACCAAACCAAAACAAAACAAAACAAAAAAAACAAAGCTGGAGGCATTATGCTACCTGACTTCAAACTATACTACAAGGTTGCAGTAACTAAAATAGCATGGTACTGGTACCGAAACAGATATATAGACCAATGGAGCAGAACAGAGACCTCAAAAACTACACCACGCATCTACAACCATCTAATCTTCTACAAACCTGCCAAAAACAAGCAACGGGGAAAGCATCTCCTATTCAGTAAATGGTGCTGAGAAAACTGGCTAGCCATATGCAGAAAACTGAAACTGGACCCCTTCCTTACATCTTATACAAAAATTAACTCAAGATGCATTAAAGACTTAAATGTAAAACCCAAAACCATAAAAACCCTAGAAGACAGCTTAAGCAATACCATTCAGGACATAGGCATGGGCAAAGACTTCATGACTAAAACACCAAAAGCAATGGCAACAAAAGCCCAAATTGACAAATGGGATTTCATTAAACTAAAGCTTCTGTACAGCAAAAGAAACTATCATCAGGGTGAACAGGCAACCTACAGAATGGAAGAAAATTTTTGCAATCTACCCATCTGACAAAGGTCTAATATCCAGAATTTACAAGGAACTTAAACATATTTACAAGAAGAAGACAACCCCATCAAAAAATGGGCAAAGGATATGAACAGAGACTTCTCAAAAGAAGACACTTATGTGGCCAAAAAACGTGTAAAAAAGCTCAACATCACTGATCATCAGAGAAATGCAAATCAAAACCACAGTGAGATACCATCTCACGCCCAGTCGGAATGGCGATTATTAAAAAGTCAGGAAAAAATAGGTGCTGGTGAGGCTGCGGAGAAATAGGAACACTTTACACTGTTGGTGGAAATGTAAATTAGTTTAACCATTGTGGGAGACAGTATGACAATTCCTCAGGGATCTAGAACCAGAAATACCATTTGACCCAACAATCCCATTACTGGGTATATACTCAAAGGAATATAAATCATTCAGCTATAAAGACACAAGCACACATATGTTTACTGCAGTCCAATTATAATAGCAAAGACATAGAACCAACCCAAATGCCCATCAGTGATAGACTGGATAAAGAAAATGTGGTACATATACACCATGGAATACTATACAGGATTAAAAGGAAAGAGGTAATGTCCTTTCCAGGGACATGGATGAAGCTGGAAGTCATCCTCAGCACATAACACAGGAACAGAAAACCAAATACCGTATGTTCTCACTTGTAAGTGGGAGTTGAACAATGAGAACATATGGACACAGAGAGGGGAAGAACACACACCAGGACCTGTTGGGGGTGGAGGGTGAAGGGAGGGAACTTAGTGGATGGGTCAGTAGGTGCGGCAAACCACCATGGCACATGTATACCTATGTAACAAACCTGCACATTCTGCACATATATTCCATTTTCTTTTTTTTTAGAAGAAATAACAACAAAAACCCCAAAAAGTATTCCTTTTTAAAAAATTCACAACTTAAGTAAAATTACGCATCTTACATCTCTGCTTCCTAATGCTTTGGATTCATTTAATAAAAGCCTATTGTTTTTTTGTTCATTCGTTTGGGAGGATTATTTTGAATCTGAAGCTTTTATTATTACAAAATAAATTAGAGAGAAAGATGGAGAGTTGATGATTATTAACTTAGCACATATCCAACCTGTGGTCAACTTTTAATAGAAAATATTTATACTTTTGTAAAATTTAATGTACATGTGAGCCCCTTACAAGGTAATTGTTTTATTAAAAGGGGCTTTATCTAAGAGATCCCTTGGAATAACTTAGAGCTGTCTGGAATGACCATTTTAATCACACCTTTTTTTTTTTTTTTTGCAATATTCATATACTTACTGGAAGGAATTTTGAGTTGTAAAATAAACGGTGTTCATAGGACAATGCCACTACTAAATTTGAGGCCAGTTTCAGCATGGAAAATACCTGTCCCTCAAAAATTTATCTGTGAATTCTCCAATATTCCTTTCCAGTTGATCTATGGACCTCCTCTAAACAGAATAGTCATACAAAATGAAATCAGTTAGTAAGCAATCTAGCTTTATGAGTCTACTCCTAGGTGGGACTAAGAGTCTGACTGATGAAAGTCCCTGTTCAGATAAGCTGAGTCAGATGTCAAGAGCTTTTCTGGTAATTAGTGACCTAGGACGAAGTGAACATATTGGAGTTCCATATGAGTTAATAATTTATTCAAGAGTGCAAGAAATCAGATTTCCCATTAAAGCATCTGTTTAATCTGTTTAATCATCACTAGAGAAAGGGTTATATACACAGTGACATTAAGGTACCTGAAGACTTAAGATTATTTTTATCCTCCTTTTCCATCTTTGTTAAAATAGAAGGTTGGATTTTACTTTCTAAGATGTCATGTTTCATTTTTGTATTTTAAAGATACTCCTTTGCCCCATAAGCATTTTCTCATAAAATGGAGTAGTAGAAACTTTCTAGTTTCTCTTTTGCCATCAGTTAGAAATTATGATAAATTACAAAGCAAGTGAGGATAGCCTTTTAATATTTGGTGAGGTTTTTATACTTTTTAATACAACTAGACTTATTATCTGGTCATAATTTTCTTATGAGGCATTGATGAGAGAGAAAACGTACCTGTTAATTACATACTCTTATGTAATAGCCTTAATTTGCTTTTTCTTTCACTCCTAACAACATTCTGTTCACTGCCTCTCAAATTTGTTTGCATAACTGTTAAAACTTAATGTTTAGGCCAGAGTGAAATCATAAAAAATAAAGGCTCATCAAATCAACTCAAATATCTGAGTAGATTTTTCATTAGGCTTTGTAATCTCATAGCTCCATCCTCACATTTCTCGTGGCTCTCTCGGCCTTTCCTTTCATTATAGCCCAAACTGTAATCATTTCCAGCAGCATGTCCCGTGTTCTGTGTTACTGTATTCTGTTAATTAACTCTGCCATGTGAGTCATTCAAGCTGGAAACATTGCAGTTACATATGATCTCTCTCTTTCCCTTCACATTTAATCCACACTCTTACCAACTCCTGCAAACTCTTCTACTACACCATTTCCCTTTATCTGTCTAACCACCACTTTTTTTTAGTGAGTCTCTCATTGGCCATTATTGAGATCTTTTTAATGGACTCTCCATCACGAGTATCTTCCCTCTGCTTTAACAGCCAGTCTCCCTGATCTAATGGCTCCGTGGTTCTAAGAAAGAAGCTATTATATCTTGTCATTCAGAATACCCATGGGGAAGACTCATCTTCTTCCAATCTAATTTCTAACTAAACTTCATACTTTTTCCAAATGAATTTGTTCTGGGTGTATTCTTACTCCCTCACTTTTATGATTTAGTTTACACTCTTCTATTGGCTTTATCAAGTCTTCACATGTGTCCAATCTTTTGTTCCTCTATAATGCACAACTCAGTAGTGCTATGTCCTCCATGATAGATTTTGTATCTCTGGAGGTGGAAATTATTTCTTATGTCTAAACAATACAAACTTCAGTCATGAATTCATGCAAGAGGGCTTTAGCTGTTTGTCAAAGACTGGCACATGAATGTGCAGTCACATATTTTTAGGTTAAAATAAAATGCTTATATTTTACTACTTTGTGATTCCCCACTTTCCTTGGTCTTTCAATCATTTAAGAGGGTGTCTTCTTTATATATATATACACATGCATACATTACCTGTATATGAATACTGCATACAACATCAAATCTGACTTCATGGTGTTTCTCAACTCTTTTTTATCTCTTTAATAATGTATCATCACCCCATATTTAATGTTATTTTAAATTAAGACAAAATTAAATATTATTGCTTAAAAAGTGGTAGAATGAAGTTCTATATCTTTTTCTCCATCTTTCTTTCAGAATCTAATAAATTTAGTTTCCATCTTGGTTGACACTTGTTGATTTATATTATTTAAAAGTATGTAGAGAGAAGAACTACATGTAATGTTGTGTGGAAACAGCAAAGGGTTTGGAGGCAAGAAATTCTGGGTCTCAGCTTTGTAACATAATCAAGTTGCTTAGTCTCTCTGATTTTCACTTTTCTCACCAATTTAAAATATGTTTTATTGGGTTAACATAAGATAATGTGCTTAAAGCACTTAACACAGTACTTGCTTTGTAACATAATCAAGTTACTCAGTCTCTCTGATTTTCACTTTTCTCACCAATTTAAAATATATTTTATTGGGTTAACATAAGATAATGTGCTTAAAGCACTTAACACAGTGTTTGTACATGCAAAGTACTTACTAAAGAATAGTAGTATAGTTTTTATTATTTCCCCCTTTTACATGAAGATATGCATAAATATAGAGCTTTATTATTAACCTCTTCATTCTGTGTTCCCTTCTCCATAGCTACCGTCAGAGGGCCCAGAAGCTTTCGGAAATTCACAAGGATCAACCTGGTCACCCTGTCAATCGAACTATCTATTGGATAGATTATATTATTCGTCACAATGGAGCCCATCACCTACGTGCCGCTGTCCATCAAATCTCTTTTTGTCAGTATTTTTTACTGGATATTGCCTTTGTGCTTTTGCTTGGTGCTGCCTTGTTTTACTTTCTCTTGTCTTGGGTGGCAAAATTTATCTACAGAAAAATCAAAAGTCTGTGGTCTAGAAATAAGCATAGCACAGTTAATGGACATTACCACAATGGAATCCTCAATGGCAAGTACAAAAGAAATGGCCATATTAAACATGAAAAGAAAGTGAAATGAGCCAACAGCCCAGGTGGTAGAAATAAATTGGTTCCCTCATTGAATTTTTATTGCTATTATTTAATCTAACAGCTACTAAAAGTAAAACAGTAAACAATTCTAACATGCCCTTATGAGATCTACTAATGAAATTCTGTGGAATTAAGATGGCTGTAAAAAGCACAAACCTAAAATGCAAAAATGTATTTTATTCAAATACTGATGTAGAGAGTTTTGGCACTGAACCTTTTAGAAGCCTTAATTATTTAAATCAATTAAGTGACTGTGTCAGACTTTAGTTTTAAATCTTCATATGTGTGTGTCCTGGATCAAGAATGGTTGCATTTTTCTTAATAAGGTTGTGTGTGTGTATGTGTGTCTGTGTGTGTGTGTGTGTGTCTCCTAATTAAGAGAATTTTTACTGGCTGCTTGTTACATTTGTTGAGGGTACAACACACTCAAGAATAAAGTAAAAGGATAGTCAGGATCCAGATGTTTCTTTTCTACCATTTAATATGTGTGAACTCAGAACACTACTATGAAAGAACACTTTCCCCCAAAACTGGATGCAGAGGAAGGAAAAAAAAAAAAAAAAAAAAAAAAAAAAAAAAAACAAAAAAAGAAAAGAAAAGGCACAGGTTTTTTTTGTAATTTTTGTTTTATTTTTGTTGTTGTTGTTGTTTTTCTTGTTTTTATTTTCTGATAGAGTATGGCCACTTCTGGGGGGAAAACATGTAATTAAGTAAATGTATACATTGGTTTTCACATTTTACTTTTGTTTTCCCACTACCAATAATTTTCCTCTGGAAGAATTTTATAGTTTTTTTCTATTTAATTTTAATGAGTAACAATATGTTAAATGCATAATTAAGACAAAGCAATGAAATTCTGACTTTATTCAAAGTACTGAAGATTATTGCTTCCAGGGCATTTTTAAACAGCACCACTGTATTGTTGAATGTTTATGTAACTGTTTGATGGCTTTTCTATAATGTAACTTTTGAATGTTCAGGTGTTACATTTCCAAAGTTTTACTTTTAAAAAACCATCTTCTGATCCCTTTTATTGTCCAGGCCACACAATCTATATTACATAGGTGCCAACATTTAATTCCTTTAAATGAAACATTTGCAGTTTTCCATATTGGTACCTGCTTTGTCTGGAGAGGTCTGAGATCTTGTTAACAAATCAGACTTTACACTATATACAGATGTGACAGATAAATTGAACTACTTGTTTGTGAAAATGAATTCCTATCATCCTCCTCATTCCCTTAGCCCTCACCTCAGCAGCCTTTTCCAGTCATTGTGGCTGACATGGAGCAGTGACAGTATTCATTTGAGAACAGGGATGCAAGTCACAGACATCATAAAATCAGGGCCTCCCTGCTGAAGCATTCACTAGTTGGCAACTATGAATTTCTTCCATGTCATTCTGTTTACTTAGCACTTGCACTACCCTTGTTGGTTGAGTGTATGCTTTATTTGTTTGTAGTTTGAAATCCCACATCTGATAGCTGAGAGTAGGCAAATACAACATTTACCTAATGTTACTCACTAACATGGAAGAGTTGTGAAAATTCTACAGTGCTGTAAATCCTTGGCATACACTATGACAAACAACTTCATTACTCTCCCACCAGGAGCTGCTCTCCTGCACTTAGAAATAATGTCACAAGTAGTTTTCTAATGCACAATGCAGACAAATGTACTGCTCTCTGAATACTTGAAGAAATGGTATTATACATACATAGAAACCGATTAGTTATACCTTTTCACAATCTTATTACGATGTTGCCGTTAAAAGGGAAAAAAGACACAGGCAATGAATGGTGGGATAGTAAGAGGACTTAGAGTGTATGAATGAGTTGATTTTACTTTTTTGTAATTGGATTAAGTTGACAGTAGGCACTGATTGGATGATTAAGCATAAGTTAATCTCCACTGTGATAAAAACTTAAATAATAAACATGATTTAAAATAGAGAAATGTTGTTGGAATAAAATTTTTATTCAGATTTTATTTCATAATATTATATATTCATTTTAAACATGTTTCTAAGACAGGTCTCCCAGCTTTTGTATGTATTTATGAGTGTGCAAACAATGTATTAAATATGAGACTTTTTTTTTTAAAATTGTTAAACAGAGGGATTTACCTTACAAGGACATGGACATGGATCTTAAAATTCTGTTCCAGAAGTAAGAATGTTAAGTGTAGGTATTTACTGATCGTTGTTGTTTTTTATTTTTTCTAGCAAGATTATTGTTAGACAGTTTTGGTAAATAGGGTGATTTTTAAATTTTCCACACTTGGGCTAGATTCTATAATAAAGTTAAGTTTTCAAGAAAGTATTCATTCATTTATTATTTAGAAAGAGTTTCTGCAACTATCAAAATATTCCCATAGCTGGTTATCATCATATCAAAAAAATGAGAATTAAGACATTTTTCCTCTAGAGTGGCAACTTCTGTTATCCCTCCACATAGACCATAGGGGCAGGATTTGGGTGTCCAGGGTTGAAAAGAGCTAATGTTTGGGTTAAAGTAATAGTTTATGATCGAAGCTAGAGATTCTCTTCAAAACTCAGCTTCTCGCTCAGTCCCAAATGCTGCTAAAACTGAACAACTCCACTTCAAAAATAAAAGGTTTATAAATGAAAGAACCAAAATAAGTTGAAGAAAAACCTCAAGGGATAATCCAACAATCTGTTTTACTGATAGTATAATTCATATTTCATTCTAGCTTCTAAGTAATTCAACCAGCTTATAAATATAAAATCACATTAGAGAATGGTTATTTGCAATCGATATAATCAAAAACGTCTGAAATAGAAAAAATTTACATTTCATATGATGAGGTTTGAGAATTATAGTTCTGTTATTGAAACTTCTCCAAAATGTGCATTAAAGAGCTGCTTATCATGCTTCCAAGATGGTAACATTTTAGCCAACTTTTGAAGACATGCATTTCATGTGAGGATACTATTGATATTTTTGACAGCAAAAACATTTTTCCAACAAATTTAATTAGAAGGGTCTTAGATGTCCACACAATTAAAGTATTTATATTGCTGTTTTTCTGCAAGTCCTACAGAGTGTTAAAAATCCCCGATCACTTGGGTGTTTGGGTTGCTGAATTGGGGTTAGCAGGGCAGGTAAGGGGTATTGGTACCAAGATGCCTAGCTTTTAAAATATGGAAACCAAAGGCACACAATACTTACATGACTCATACCTTCACTTTTGGGTAAGGCAGACATGATGTAAGAGATAATTCGTTTATATTGTATCCTGCAAGACTAGTGATCTTCCTTATTATAAATAAAACCAGCAGATTATTTTCAATAGAGTAATATATAATCCAAGTTCAGACTCTGAAAAATCAGAACTACGTGTAGAATTACGTTATTCAAGTAAAACAATTATAATAATGTCCATCTACTCAAAGTAGATCAAAGTAGATATAATAATGTCCATCTACTCAAAGTTCAACATCAAGATTAATCTCAGGTAATACATTATCTCAGGTTTTTCATTTATTAACCAGTAAAACTTGAAGTTCTTGCTGAATTTTGTAGTATTAAAAGTATTTTATTTCTGTTAGTTTCTATCTACAATTAGTTTTAACTTTTCAGTAACCCTATTTTGTGCACTGATTATTCCATATTCCTGACAGCAGAGGTGACTTCAGTTCCACTGTGTCAATTTAATAGTTACTTACTTACTTAATTTATTTGGAGACAGAACCTCCCTCAGTAGCCCAGGCTGGAGTGCGGCAGTGTCGCAATCCCAGCTCACTGCAACCTCCACCTCCCGGGTTCAAGCAATTCTCCTGCCTCAGTCTCCCGACTAGCTGGGATTACAGGCATGCACTACCACGCCCGGGTAATTTTCATATTTTTAGTAGAGACGGGGTTTTGCCATGTGGGCTAGGCTCTTCTCCAACTCTTGGCCTCAAGTAATCCATCCACCTCGGCCTCCCGAAGTACTGGGATGAAATGTGTGAGCCATTGCGCCCGGCCATACGTGTATTTTTAAAAAGATAATACCTACTAAGCCATGAGGCTTAGTCGTAATATTAAGATATTTTCATTGAAGTCAAAAATAACTAAAAAGCAGTGCAGAGAGAAAAGTTTTGTTGAGATTCGTTATACAAATAGGTAATATATTAATCGAGGGATCTATTACTCTTTCTTACAATAGCACTGCAGTAGAGTATCTAATGTGTTTGAAAAGATGAATTTCATATATTCATGCTAATTTTGCTTTAGTTACCCTCGTAGAACTTTGGCTGAAGGCCATGAATATTCTTTTAGCAGAAAATGAAAACTTTGAATGTAAATGCATTAGATAAATTGCATAACATTAAACTTCAAATTAGCAAGGATGTATATCTCTGGGTAACTTATTTTGTCTATAAAAGGAACTGGCAGAGATGAGGCATCTAGAAAAGTCCAGCACTATGATATATTAAAGATTCTCAATTCTGCTTCCAATCTTGATTCTGCCCTCCATGTATAATGAGAGGTTCAACTTATGAGTAAGAAGGCAGGGCAAGAGTACCTAAAATACCAATGTAAACAATTAAGTTTGAGTCATCAGAAAAAACAAATGCTAAAGACATATATTAGGTTGAACAAAAATATCTATTAATAATACCATTTACATATATTTATGTGTGTAGCATTTATCCTTGCAATTCTTCAGAAATTTGATTTTTAAAAAATTTAAAATGCTCTCTCAATTTTTTTTAAAAGAATGGCAGTATTATGAAATTTTTGAAGTCTTTTAAGAAACAAAAACTATCTTTTTAAAACTAAATAAAATTCAAAAGGACTAGCAAGTTTTAGATTGGTCAGATCTACCCCTGTAACACTTCTTGCTAAAATATTAGGAATAAATAGGATGAAATTGTTACAAAATAAAATCAAGTCACTGCTTTGAATGTATTCTTCTTTCTTGTACTTCCATCTTCTAACTCTAAAATGGAAAACATTTTGAGATTTAGAAATTTAAACCACACTTAGGTTATAGTATATATAACATTTCTTCTCATTTACAATCTCAAAAGATGAAAGCAGGAAAGAAATTTAATTTGGGTACCTCTGAATAAATTTTATGAATCCAAGAGAATGGATACACCAGTTGCACCATTTGAGAAAGCGCAATTAATTTTGAATTTGAATATGCCATACTCCAGGTCCAGATTTCATACTACTGACGTGACACAACCTTCCTTACCTGTTCTCTCCCATCTTCATGCTTCTAAGCTTTCAGTTTCCTCTCTTGGGTTTTCTATCACCCTTAGGTATTTTCCAACCTGCCCTATCCTTTGCAAGTTTATGGTGCATAGATTGTGCTTGTCTATCTAATGTGTATCTAATGATTTTTTTTTTTTTTTTTTTTTTTTTGAGACAGAGTCTTACTCTGTTACCCAGGCTGGAGGGCACAATCTCGGCTCACTGCAACCTCCTCCCTGCAGGTTCAAGCAATTTACTTACCTCAGCCTCATGAGTAGCTGGGACTACAGACATGCACCACCACGCCCCAGCTAATTTTTGTATTTGTAGTAGAGATGGGGTTTCACCATGTTGGCCAGGCACAGGCTCTTCTCAAATTCCTCACCTCCAGTGATCTACCCACCTCAGCCTCCCAAAGTGCTGGGATTACAACTGTGAGCCACCATGCCCAGCCAGATGCTTTTGTTTTTTAACAATGAGGAAATACAATAAACTGAAACATTGTAATTTACAAAGGTAAGCTAAGAAAATATCTAGCATTTTTTTTTTAAGTTTTATCTGTACTAGATTAATGCCATTTAGGATGTAAGATCAAAAACAATGGATGTGCATATGGTGCTTCTTATGGGTATTGGGAGGAGGGCTACCACTGAATGAGTTTGCACTCTCTCAGGGCACTGTGCAACACTCTGGATGTGGCACTGAATGAACCATTTGGGGCATAGCTCAATGATCACTAAACTATCAAGCCACATATATTCTTCTTGTCCCCAACTTGGTCAGCTAAAATTTTTAGACAACTGCCTTGTATAAATAGAGACGTTGGCTCTCCCCTGTGGAAGCCTGTCTCAAACATTCATTCTTGGTGCTCCTAACAGGATCCTTTTGTACCAGAAAAGAGTGCTGTCTCTGATTCTGTAAATCTCACTTAACATCACTCATATCCCCAGTGTTAAAATGTGCTAGAACTGCAGCCATCTGTCCGCTGGGGCACGAGAAAAGCCCAAGACAGATAGGTGGCAGGTATTCAAAAATGTATCTTAAGCTAGGATTGCAGCAGTAATTGTCTTTCCTATAACAATGAGCAGAAAGGTGTGGATAGGAAAGGCAAGGACAACCTAGGAAGGAAGCAGCAGTGAGTGGTTATAGATCAAAAACTACCTCAGAATTCCTCTCATACTTTTCAAAATGGATTTTTATTTCACCTGGTATATTTAAGTGATATTCTGGAGAAGCTTATCTGAATTGGATAGGTGGGTCCCCCAGCTATGCAATCTATATTTTGGAATGGTCATCCATCTTTTTTTTTTTAATTATTATTTCATCAGAGATAAGGTGGGAAGGAGCACAAATCAAGCAAAGATCTTTAAAGGTCTTGAATGTAAGGCCCAAAGATATCAGTGGAATTTGGCAAGTGCAAGACTTTGGCAATATCTAGGCATATCTATAGGCATATGGACCATATTATGTCATACATGTTCTAGTGATGGAAATTTCAACATGAATGGGTGTCCTACCTGAGAATGTGGCCATACCACTGGAAGTGTAGGTGGCATCAACTCACATGTTTGTGCATATCAAGACAGAAGTTGCAGAACATCTCTTTGCTGGCTATCATTTCTTATATCAGAGGTAAATGACAGAAATTTAACTACTTTTTTTGTTCTCCAATCATAAATACATTTAGCATTAGGTGACATGGAATTGCATTTTATAGTTGTGTGTTCTATCTATCTACCAGCTTT